TGTTTACATGCGAAACAGTTCACTAATAGCGGCCATGGGAAACAAATTTAACTACATTTCCACTTATTTCTACGAATTTCCTTCACAGTCTATCCTATTTCCCCACTCCCAGAACCCCTATTATCCCCGTTTCCATAGGACAAATGTTGGGACAAGGGGTATATAAGATGCACTACTCCAACTACCTTTGCATACTAGAATATACGCAACCATGTGATTGGAAGTAGCCGTCGTTCTCTGACTCCTCGTCTACCCATCACACACTATGAGGATAGTATGGTCTAGTATAAAGCGTCAAGTGGCAGCGATGGCAACCCGTGCTAATCACAGGCTCGCATCGCATATGTATCAGAGGAGCTACATGTGGCCATCTTCACACACATACGGGAAACAAGAAAGCGTCATCATCTACTGCCATCCTGGTCTGCCAACGTTCAAAGTGTAGGAATCTTTTGAACCAAGATCAAAGAAAATGCCGATCGGAATCCCGACTAATTTTATAACCCGATGGTAGGCACACTCCCGTCGTCAAACTTTGATGGACTGAAGCTTACTGGGCTGTTGCTTGCAGGCATATCTGTAGAAGTGCATCTGGTTCTAGAATTAGCGAAGCGCGTTTTGACTTTTTTCGCCTGAACGTGGGTAGAGATCGCACCTGAACACACACAATCCCAGCTGCCTATGACCGAGGTGTGGCGTTGGATGATGAGTCACAATTTCTGACAGGGAAGTAAGCAATCTGTTTTTTTTGAGCGGGACTGACCACATGTGTGAAAATGTCAGTTGACTAAGCAAAATTTTAACTGAACTCACCTCACAATTTTCGAATCAGTTGGCCAATATCACGTAGAATATAAGCCTCTCTCACTCTACTACTGTGGGGGCTGTTATAAGGCGGAACGATGATACCCAACTATATGCCTTCTGAGAAGAAGAAGAAGACTCGATCGCTGGGACAATATGTTTATTCGCCTTTTGTCCCAGCGATCGAGTCTTCTTCTTTTCAATTGCTTCCTGGGACACGCATGTTCTCTTGTATCAGCTATATGCCTTCTTGTGGGAGGGAGTGGAACCATGAATATGCATCGGTGCTCTCGTCGTTTGGGGCATCAGAAGTCCACAGTTTCATCCTTTGGCCTGTTTTCCCTTCGAGTTTACCAGACCTTTCTGTTTCACAGAAAACTTTCCCCGACACAGGATTGCCTTTCCTTGACTCGCCTCTTTGTCATGACTGATTACTCTTCAGGTTCTCCAATGCATGCTGCACTGTTCCGATCTGAATAGCTGTACGCGATCCTTCGACCTCTACCAGCAGTGGACCTATCGGGTGATGGAGGAGTTCTTCCGCCAGGGCGACATGGAGAAGGCCCGCGGCATCGAGGTCAGCGCGATGTGTGATCGAGACTCGGTCAGCATTGACAAGTGCCAGGTCAGTCTTCCTGCGTGGGCTTTCACTTAGCACATACGCACACTTTCTATGCCCCCTCCTCTCCCCACTCACACCAATTCCGACAAGGACCAGAGATAGAGGGAGAAAGAAATATGCTGTATTTTGAAGGTAGACATCCAGAATTTTCAGCAAAAATGGCTCCATTAACGGAGAGCAAGGGATAAGCTAAGGTAAAAGGTCACAGAATAGTCGAAGTTAAAAGGTTTACACGACATTTACATCAGTTATGATTACCGGCCTGCTTTCAGCTTCTCAATTTCCGTTTCTTCATGCGTGATGTAGCGTGCTAGGAATGGGAGTACCGAGTGCTGATATGCCAATGTTTTGCAAGACATATGACGGAAGCTTCGGCGCATAGTACGGAAAGGCGTCGCAGTCATTAGTTCAGAGTGGAAGGGGTGAGCGAACTTACTAAGGATGCGATTTGCAAATTGCCGGACCGTTTTGAAGTGTTGCTGTAATAGAATGTCAGATAGAAGAACACAGGCAACACCGGCAGCTGCAGAATACGTTTAAAAATGACCAGTTCTTTTTAAGTAAAGCTGGAAAAATAACTAGAAAGCAATAAGGAACTAGGGGAGAATGCAGGTATCTATAAATCGCCAGATTAGGTCTTGCAGTGTTGGATTTGAACGCAAACGGCGGATATAATATAAACGTTTACGAATTTTCATGAAGACGCCTTCAATATGAAGAGTGAATGAGAGGTTGGATGTCAGAGTAACACCAAGGTACCGGAAAGAGGTTACCTAACTGGTCAGAATGCCAATAGATTCAGGACTAGGAGAGGGTTGCAATCGAAATACATTATGGACTGACTTCTGGCCGTTACGTAGAAGGCCATTTGCTGACGACCATGCTGAGACGTATTCCAGGTCATCTTTCCGTACTCGGAGAGGTATCCAACTTTTGAGAGGATGGCTGACAACCAGATCATCGGCATATTGAACGTACAAACATTCATTTGGCGATCGTAGGCCATCATTGTGGAGGGAGAAGAGGTGAGGAGATAGCATGGACCGTTGGAGAACTCCACAGTCGTTGGGAAGGACCGTGGGCTTTCTCTTGCCGCACCTAACGCATTGAGTGCGGGAAGTGAAATAGGCCCCAAGCCAAGAGGCGGCCCAGCCGGGAGAGCCACATGCAGAAGTTTTATTGAGAAGAAGATGGCACGGATCGTATTAAAGACTGAAGAGTAGTCAAGAAA